GTCATGGGCATCATGTACATATGCTTGGCCATAGAGAAGCCATGGGCATACATGTACAGAAACCTGACTGTGTAAGAGCCACGAGCTTACATGCAGATGCCTGGCCATAGAAAAGCCATGGGCATCATGTAGATACCTGACTGTGTTGAGCCATGGGATTACATGTACTGGTTGATTCTTGGCCATGAGCCATGGGCACTGACACATACATGTACCTGATTGAGGAAGAGCTGTGACATACATGTAAGTGCCTGATGGAAAAGCCATGGGCACAGATACTTGATTGTGGAACCATGAACATAGATGCTTGATCACGCATAGGCAATGGATACAGTGTACTTGATTAAGGGAAAGCCATGGGCACAGATACTTGATTGTGGAACCATGAACATAGGTGCTTGATCACCCATAGGCATACAGTGTACTTTATTAAGGAAAAGCCATGGGCACAGATACTTGATTGTGGAACCATGAACATAGGTGCTTGATCACCCATAGGCATTGGATACAGTGTACTTGATTAAGGAAAAGCCGTGGGTATACATATATATGCACTACTACATACTTAACCCTCCTTTTGCTGTATCAGTCAGTCAAAAATTCCTTCCACTTCTCCCTCTGCAGGGCGACATGTTATCATATGTCACTTGGCTGATTTTGACTAATAGGACAACTGTGTCAAGAATGCATCTTTGCATAAGACATAGGACGGTTTTAATTATGGCAAAGCTGTACATGGGCCTACACGTACAGGTTTGCCGGGTGGCCCCCTTTCTAAAAAAGACTGCAACCCAAAAGTAGCATTTATTTTCTCCCAAAAGCTTTTGTTAGAGATAATTGATTCAGTTTCAGAATTTTTAGTATGTAGTCTGAAAATTTCATTTGAAGCTCTCTTTACATTTCAGAGATATTTTCAATTACATAACACAACTCATGTTTTTGTTTATGCAGTCTCTAAATATCTCTAAATCACCACCCAACTGTTTGCATTGTTTTGAGTTCTTGGACTTTCTCTCTAGTTTTGAACTTGATGAAGTTGATGCTTATTTTGGAAGACAGGTTGTTTAATCACTGTGCAGTCTCCGAGTTTGCAGATTCAGAGTTGATTGAGTTTGTTTCAGAGAGAAAGTCGTCAGTTTTGAAAAGGTAACGTAAGCTTCAGTTTCATACAAAAGAACAAGAATATCCAGCAAATAATTTGAAAGTAAGTGTTACTTGTGGGTTGCATTTTTGGTAATGGGAAAGCCATGGGCACACATATGCTTGATAGTGGAAAACCGTGGGCATAAGAGCTTGATCACGGGAAAGGCATGGCCACAGATATTTGACTGAGGAAAAGCCATAGGCACACATACACACGTATGTTTGATAGTGGAAAACCATGGGCACAGGAGCTTGATCATGGGAAAGCCATGGTCACAGATACATGTACATATATGTATTTGACTGAGGAAAAGCCATGGGCACATGTTTGTTTTAGTGGAAAGCCATGGCCACAGATTTTTGATTGTGGAAGAGCTGTGGGCATACACGTAAATATTTTATCGTGGAAGGCCACGGGCATAAATCTACGTGTATGTTTGATCATGGGAAAAGTCATGGGTATTCAGTATTTGACTGTATAGGTCAAAGGAAGGCAGTATTGGTCAGAGGAAAGTTACAGACCGGTATGTTTGAAATGGAAATGCCACGGTCACTCATAGATGCAGTGGAATCCTGTGTGGTCAATCTTTTGTAATGACAAAAATAATGTTTTAAGTCACTGAAAAACTGGCATCACATCAATGTGTGTCCGTCAAAACTCAAATACTTACAGTTGAATTTTTTTTTGTTTTGGTTTTTTTGGGGGGGGGTCGGAATAATGAAATTTCTTGCAAATTAGACATTTGAATATGGTTTAGTAATGTATTTTGTACATATGGCTGTGAACCACTATATTGCTTTAAAAAATAATGGCATTATTCAGAGATGATTTCTATTTATCAAGAAAAAAAGTGTTGTAAAGTTTGTCTTTTCAGTAGATAGTAATGCGTTTTTTCCTCTTTGATTTACTTCAATGCAGGAGGTGGTGGAAGTGGTTTATTTCTGAGCCAAGTGTCTGGTTTAGTGACAGGCCATGCTTAAATGGTGCTGCTGTACATGTATTTTTCAGTTATGGAGTTTGTTACCGACAGAATTTTTCTTTCTTGGCAAGGAGGAAGGAAACGGGAGGTGCAGAAAAAATGTTTTGAAAGGGATTGGGGAAAAAAAGTTCTTGAAAGCAGTAATCTAGTGGTGGAGTTGCACGTGCATGTGGCGGTGTTACTTTAATAGTCTGTTGCAATGGGTGAAAAAGTTATGCGTCATTTTTGTAAAAGACTATAGAGTACCGAAGTGTGACGTCACTATGAACCAGAAAGTGCAGTGCAAACGAATGCAGTACGCACGCGTGTTGGTTCACGCGCTGGTTCACGCGCTGGTTCTCGCCGTAATGCCTTTTACACACTAATTGTGCGCGTGACGCATTCACTTTGGTACTCTATTTACACATGTTCATACATGTGCCTAAATTACATGTAACCCGAACCGCCTCCCAGCAGTGAAAGAAAAAAGGAAAGAAGGGAATGAAACGAGAAAAAGGAGAGGGAATGAGAGTCACCAATTTGCTTGAAAATACCTCAGAATTGATCTCCCTCAATCTCCTGTTAATGGTTTGCTGCTGATGAGTTCCCCCCTCCCCGAAAACCATCCTAGCAATGCCCATGACACTGCAGGAAATGAGAGACCAAGCCCTGTGTATGAAAGCAGTAGCATGTTGGGTCTTACCCAGCACCATCTGCAGTCCTGCCAAAAAAAAGCAGTTAGTGCCTCCCGGTGGATTTGTAAGAATCTCGGACCAGTTTTTAAGCAGCATCAGGCACTGTGACCTTCAGTGAAATCCCACAGAGTTCTCTTCCAAGTCTAGGGGTGGCTGTTGGTGAGAGGTGCAGGGGTGGCTGTTGGTGAGAGGTGCAGGGGTGGCTGTTGGTGAGAGGTGCAGGGGGAGGGAAGGAGGGTGATGTGGGCCAAGAAGTGCCAACCTTATCCACCCCTCCAGGGCCCAATTTCAGGGAGCTGCTTAGCATTAGCAGAAAAGTCAGGCTTACTGCAGCTGAAAAAAATCGCTAACCTTAAGCACTTCTTCAGCAGTGCTTGGCCTGGTTGTGCATGCGGTTTCTTGTGCATAGAGAATTCAACTGTTTTGTCGCTGTATGCAAATGCAAATTCTTCCTCCGAGGTAAGCGTGCCATTTGCTATGCTTACTGCTTACAGTCTCCATAAATTACGCGGAGCCCCAGCTATATATCGTGCGCTTAGCAGCACTTTGAAATTGAGCCAAGGAATCTAACCTCAAAGTCGATCTCCTAATGTGTGAATCCAGATTGTAAAATCCCATCGACATGATATTTTTGTTTTAAGGGCCTATATTACAGAGACAGGTGCTAATGGACTTCCAGGAAGTAAATTACACAACACATGTTGTTTTCTTTGGGCAAACCACACAGGGGAAGGGCCACAAACCCTGAGGTGTACAAAGTGCCTGTGGTTGGTGTATGGAACAGTGGTACACACAATGCCCTCCCTACAGTGGTGCAGTTTTTAAAACAATGCATTTTGTGTTTCTACCATGTCTGGAGACACTCAGGACAGTGAGCTATATGTACTTGGTAAAAATGACTGTCACACCATCGTAGTCAACCTCGTTTCCATGGGTACGATCTTGCGGCGCCAAGTTGGTTCCCACCATGCCTTGCCCGATCATTTGTATAATTTGAATATCCTGCTATTTAAATTTGGCCTTTAGTCTGTGTATTTACGCGCGACGCAGATTTACGCGTGTGTGACGTGTAGGAGAATACGTGGGCACGAGCGTGTATCTTTTGAAATATGCATGCGAATCATTTACGTTTGTGTATGTTCATCCTGAATTGCCAGTCAGCGTCATTTCCGTATTCTACACGACCAGGGGCTACAGAAGGAAGGCGCACACGGCCCACGGAGTCGAGGTTGCATCATAGTGGATTCTTAACATGTTGAAAGTACCAGGGGACCCTCTCATGTGACTTGGAAGAGAATCTGTATTTTGGCAGTGAACCTAAACCATGGTAGATGGATGGAGAGTGCGATTTGTCCATTCATAGAAATTTGTACAGATAAAGTAATTGTTTTGAATACAATTTACACCCATTAACCTGACTTCTCACACAGTGGTGTAGTTGACAACATGCCACATTGATTATGGTCTGAACACTTCAAATCAATGCTCATTTATTAAAGCATGTGAAATTATTAATGCATCGCTGTTTTTTTTTCAACTGTCCGTTATCATTCTGGGTGTAATCTGCATTGTTAGTTATGCAAGCATTATCCACGCTGTAGCCATTGTTTAATGAAAGGATTATTTCAAAATTGGTTGCTTTTCAAAGCTTCAGCATCATTGCTTGTATTGATAGCTACATTCATGTGATTTTGTTTGTTGCACAAAAGCAAACTTGGAAAATCCGACATTGGAGTTTGGTAGTCTGGTGCTGTGCTAATTTAATACAAGGTGCTTGGGAACCAGACAGGGCATGCAATCTGTTTGGTACAGTTCCCATGACCATGAATATGCGTCTACAACTCAACAACAGAAAAGTAACCAGACTACTTGATTCCAACATGGTGTCACCCTGTAGTCCATGTGTTGGATCCACCGCATCGTTTTATTTCATGTCAACATCAACTGCTTCAAAACATTTGATTAAATGAGCCAAAAAATCCAGCTTTGGATTGTTGACAATGAGTGTGTAGAAGTCTCTTTTTCTTTGAAGTGTGGTTTTCTTTTGTGCTGTTAAGGTTTGATTTCCAATCTGAAGATAGGGCGAAAGATTACCAAGCACTAATTAACCTGTTGCAATGAAGCATGTATTTGTGGGTGAAGCAGACACAATTAACCACTTGACACCGGATGACGTATAAACACACATAATTTTCCTTATGTGTTCCACGGAGGACATGTACTCTTAGATTAATTTTTTCTTTTATTTCCGCAGTTGACATATTAATGCATCGTGCTTGATTGGGTCAAAGCGCAATTGCAAGGTTGAAGAATTTGCGGGTAAAAAACCCGCCCCCGGCAGCTTTTCCGGGTAAAAGAAGAAAATCCGACATTAACTGGTTTATAATGAGCCAACTTGGTATTCCAACAGCAAAATGCATAAAGTGAAGCAAGTCCTACACGTGGAATATCAATAGAGGGTTTGCATGGCTGCCATCTTGCAGACCAGTACTTTAGATCCACATGGTATGCACAAAGGAGGTTTCCTTGTGGAACAAAGGAAATGCCCAGCAAGATGGCTACCACGCAAATCCCCTATACACATGCGTACTTGTGAGATTTGCCCTATCAGTAAGGCTGATGTATGCTGACCTACTAGCACTAAGAACCTTCAGTGGTTAAGACGCCAGGTTCTTTGTTCCTAAATGACCCGGCAAGTTGGAAATACTGAACTGGATCACTGCTCAAATTTTCTTGGTGCTAATGCTCATGAAAAACAGACAGCAACTTTAATAAAATGTTTATAGGGTGAGATCAAATATGCAAAACTGCACTTTGTAAGCTGGTACCGTACATACACATGTAAAATCTTGACACACTCAGATTAATTTGGATGAAACAGGAGCCTTTCTGAGCTGACAAAGGTAATGCAAAAACGAATCAATCCATTTGTTTTATATACATCATCAAACCTGTTTTAATGATCGTAAAACGTCAGCAACAATTCAATGGAAAACTAAACAAAACCTGCACTACTGTAACAGATAATGAAACTGGTTGACAGAGGAACTTTAACAATCCACTCCAGTTTGGAGAGATCTCTAGAAATTCTTCCTTGTGCAACTGTCCAAATGGTGACCTGAATCTCTCTACACATAAAAACAACTGATTATACTCGCAAGTCACTACAGAAATCAAACTGTACAATGGAGAATACATCACAGCATGGGACCTTTTTTAATAGCAAACTTCATGTAGCAAATCTGTTTACTCACTAAAGATGTTACTTGAAACCTTTTGTCAAAAAGGAAAATGTTGTGAAGTGGGCTCTAAAGCATTGCTAAGTTGTGTAGTGGCTTTTTGATGTTGAAAAGCGATGACTTTGGCTCTGAAAATTACAAACTGGGAGTTGGGCTGTATCCTCAATTTTCAGCTATCATGGTTAACACTGACGAGTGTAAGCAACGGCAGATTCATCTACATGAACATGTATTTCTCACACAGGTGTGGACATGTTACCATCAAATCCAAACCATGTGGGTACAACTGTGCTCTTTCTACTCGGTCCTGAGATCAGTTGTCGGGTCACACTTGCACTTCAACCCTTCTGTTAAATCCCAGTCCATTTAAATCTCTGAAAAACACTTGTAATAAATCATTCATTCCTAATATAAATACTGCAGTCTTCATCCAGTAAACTGTGAAATCACTGTGACGATGGACAGGCTTGCCGGATGAAGAAACGCTCCGTCTATGGACTACTTTTTATCGGGGGTATCAAAATCAATTTCTGCAGCAAAAGAGTTGAAAAGACAGAAGAAAAGATTGTAATGTGAACACTGAGGACTTCATACCTGTATTAAAAAAAATCCAGACCCATAATTGGGCCTGTTCGTTTCACACAGATCTGGATCTCGGTTAGTAATCCTAATGATGGTTGGCTCCGTCCATCAGTGGGGTCCTGGTGTCAGTGAACCAACAATGAATCACTGATTGAGATCCAGATACAGTGCATACACAGGGCACTGAAGCCACCGGCGGCCATCTTACCGTGCCAAATACAAAAGATAATGCAAATCTTGCTTGCTATAGTTAACCACAGTTTGTTCACGGCATCAGTAATTACCGGTATGTGTACAGTGGCAAAGTGATAAAATTGCTGCCGGTGGCTTCAGTCGGTACAAAGGCACTGCGAGTACAGATCTTCTTATGTGACGCCCTTGGTGAATATGCCGGGGTGAGTTAGCTTTGCCGTAGGCCCTGGTTTTCTATTTCAGTTTCTTTGTCAATCACTCCACGGTTTCTTCTGTCAGGACTTGCTGGAAATTAAAGCCCCCCCCTACCATTTTCAACCATCGATGTTACATTGTTTGGACAACCAACTTCTGAACAAAAAAATATGGCCGCGCACACAGTAGGGAGCGCCATCAAGGACCCTTAGGCCGTTTTCCAATACTCAACTGTGTCTCCGTCTCAGTCTTCGTTACCAAAACCAATCCCCGATTGTGGGCCTGAAGCGTTTAAATTAAATTGGCTTACTGTAATTTTTGGCTCTCTTACATCTTATTTGATGTTCTGTGGCACTATTAGACTAATTACAGCTTGCAGCTTCAAAGTCAGCTAGTTAAAAAACAGTTGAAGCCTGAGACGGAGCCGAAGTTGGGTATTGGAAAACGACCCTAGTTAGCCACAGTTCGACTCACTCTGATCGAACGCATGCTAGTCGACGATGGTTGGACCAGTCTAGTCAACTATTGGCGACCAGCCTGTCGAGGTCGAACGCATTATTGGTTGTCATAAATGGTTTTTAAAAGCACTGTGCAGAGACGACCAGTTACAAGAAAAATGCCGGAAAAACAGTACGTCACTAGTAAACAACCATTTGCACGTTTTATTGTTGCTGCATGTATTTTGCCCTTCCTGCGGCCACCTTTTCTCCCCTTCGGCCTAACAACCTGACAACAGTTGACTGAGGTCATTCGCACTTCAACTTCACTGCACATGTGTTGGGAACATCACAAATCAACCACTAGTGGTCCTTGATCGAAGAGTTCAGAACAATACCTACCGACCCAAAACTTCAGAAATTTGGCTTGACATTGTGGAAAATGTCACTTGCGTGTAAGCCATACCTTTAAATTCAAACGTTGGGAACTGCGCAAGATCTCCGCCGCCGTAGAGTTTGTTCAGTCGCGACGCCTCCGCTTCCAAGTCCTTCTCTATCACTGGGTCAGGATCGACCATCTGGCCGCCGAGCGCTCTACAAGGCAGAAAACGTGTGGATATATACCTTGGTGTTGGTGTTTGTCATCACTGTACAATCTGACATTTTGCAGGTCGACATGCACTTTATTTTTGCCAACCTGAGAAATAAACTGTGAATGAAAGTTTTTGGATATAATCTGAAGAAATCTTTGAAAGATTCAGTTTTCATTTTCTTATGTACTGACATGTATTGCAGTCGTTTTATACCAAGGAAACTGGAGACACATGTACATAAGTAAACACGATGCGAACAGTGGCATACCGAGGCAGCACTGGCTCTAACAGACCTGAATTTCTGGGGATTGAGTGTTCTGGTGAAAACACTGTCCAGGAAAAAGGAAGGAATATCAGAACCACTGAAGTAGAGCAAGTGGTTGTGTCCACTTTCTTGACTTACTTGCTCTTCTTGGCGTATTCCTTAATCTTGTCTAGATACAGCTTCTGTACCGGGGGCATGGACTTGTTGTTTACCATGACGACGGCGGACATGGTGACGTTCCTCCTCAGGACTAGACAGAGGGTATGGTGGGCCTGGGGGCCGAGTCTAAGGACCTGTTGCAGCATGACTGGATCTGCGGGGATACATGTATGAAGAAAGTCAACCTTAACAGGACTGACGTGAAAATGTGTACAGACATTCTGAGACACCGATGAGAGTGTGAAAGACATACATGTACATGTACTGTACACGTAAGTCTGTATTAATTTCTCTGAGGTACTAAGGGTGGCGAGCTCAGGGCCCAATTTCGAGGCGTTGCTCGCCGCAAGCGAAAAATTTGTGCTTACCGTAGCAGAAAATTCCGTGCTTATGGTGAACAAATTTCTGTGGCCCTACATGTATATGACTTTTGTGCTGAAGTGGTAGTGCTTACTGTTTGAGTTTGAGTATTTTTGTTAAATAAGCCCAAAGAGACAGAGAACCAGTTTAGATTTTGATACCAAAAAAATGTGTCGCAGTCGTTCTCACTTTAAATTTCAAATTTAATTCACTTTTAAATTAATGCAATATAAATTTTCTCAGTGATTCAGCAGAACTGAGGATGACAAATCGAACCACAAGGCAGGAAGGATGTTTTCTGAGTGCGCAAAAGCAGTTCAAATTATCCAAGTGTTTCATTTGAAAAAAAAAAAAGGAAATGTTTACAGGTCATAATACACTCCTCCAGTCAAATGTCACTTGTTGAAGTACAAATACAGTAACATGTTGACAGCTAAAACCTGAGGGGAATGGAGTTACAGTGTATCTTCAGTTTCGTATCGCTTAGTCTTGTTTGCAACGTGAAGCGCTGCACATGAAACATGTACATGTAGTAGGCCTGCTGTTTTTTCACTTCGGTTTCCCCATGTGTGGTCACATGACCTTTCCTTTTGCGGTCACACTGCCGCTGGTCAGCAATTGGACTGCTTGAAGGGGACTACAGTTGGGCGTGTGGTAGCAATCAGGTTAGCTTCCGTAGCTCAAAAGCCAGGATTTATTGCAGTTTCAGGTGGCGTTGGTTTATGCTACATGCATACAACTGATCCCAGTGAGAAAAGAAATGCGCTCGGCAGTGATGACTCTTAACCCTAGAATTACAATACTTTCACTGCTGTTTGAAGCATTTTGGTGGGTTTTTTGGAATCAGAAACTTCAAAATGAATAAAAAGAGTGGTGTGGGCCCTGTTTGAGTCACTGGCACTGATCTGGTCTGCGCATAACATGACAGCGGCCACCATTTGTGCCCGTGCATTCCACATGTGCAGCATCCGAGATATTTTTGCACAGTACGTGTACATGTAGCTGGCATAGTGTACATGTACTTGTGGTTAGCAGATATGTCTTCTGTTCTGATGTTCCTCGTCAAAAATTTCGTTTTTCTGTTTCACATACTTACAACATGTACAACAAGCAGATTTTGAAAATTGAAAGTAACAAATTCATTTGAGGTAGGAGAGATTTACCCTGACATGCCTGACGTTTAGAACAATGTGCTGCTTGCTTCCTATCAAAGAAACAGAGCCCTGTTTTGGGCACGTGGTCCACCTGGGTTGTGCGCAATGCCATTTGTGATTAAATGTTATCTTTTATGGGTACGAGGGTACCAGATGTTGACAAAAATCGGTACCTACCCGGTTCCAAAATACCCATAAATGCACACCCCTACTACATGTAACATGTCAAATGTACCGGTAAGCAGGTAAGTGGGGCCTTCAAATTTGTAGACACGGCACTGACTACTGGATAGATCTTGGGAGTGGGTAGAGGGATTTTGACAAATGAGGTGTCACTTTATCGGTGAACTTGAACTCTATGGTGCTAACTGAAAAATAATGGCATTATCAGCCCTATTTTTTGATTTAGAGTTATGAAAAAAAATTTCCAATCCCTAGCCTAGGCCTACTTTTGTAACATTTTATCTTTAGGGTTAAAGGAAATATTTTTAAGAAAAATATACATGTATGAATGAAAACATTCACAATGTCATTCGCTTACATTTTCAGGAATCTGTCTGGGCCTATTTTGCTTGCCTAGTGCTCGTTCCATAGGCACAGTAAGCACCAGCGTAAAATTACATGTTCACCTAGCCCAGGTTGGACGTTGTCTTCGTTTCATTATGACTGACGTCCGGGGTATAAAAGTTGTGTACAAAACCACCACAAAATTGGTTCTTATTTGTTCTTGGTTTACCTTGTTGAAGAAACTAATTGTTCACATTTACAAGTTCTTCGTGGCCTTATCTATCTGTTGGGGGATTTAGGAAATTCAGAATGGACCAGGGACTGCAAAATCAAGGAAAATAATTGAGAGACAATGTTACTTTTGTGGACGTAATTCATCCGTTCTCGAGTTGTAAAGTGAATGCACGTACAGGAATCATAATACGTGTTTAAAAAAGGCCAAGATTTGTACAAATCATGAATTTTAGCTTTCCCGTACTGGCCATAGGAGACTCAGCTTGCATGCAGGTAACTAGGCCAACCCTCACCAATGAACGCCACAAGCAACACCCCCACCCGATGTTGTGTGTACTCGGCAGGGAGATCAATGGAACTCGTGGCTCAGAACCACGTTCCGCATTACGCCGGCGTGCTTTATACATGTATGTGAGCGTCGAATCCAGCGGATTCGGTAAGACTTCAGTTTCACTCGTTCAAGTAAGAACATGTACTGTAGTTTCGATGTGCGTATACACAGCCCGGAATCTCGTGCACCACGTAGTTGCGCGTGCACACCGTACGAACTGCACTGGAGAAAACAGTCCACAACAATGGCCAGAATTAACTTTATGTCCAACTTTATTTTCCCGTCTTTGTCTTTGGTGGTGATGTGTCGAATTAATTTCTGATCCCACCGGCCGTCATGGCTGTGGAGCTATGGAGATAAGGATGCATTGGAGTTACAGACGTGAAATTGTCTCCTTGGAAAAGGTAGAAGTGTTGAAAATGTTAGTTACACATTTTTTGCCCGATTTTGCACCCTTTATATCCTGGACTCCCTCCGTAACGTAGCACGGTCAGGGCATGCAGGGAGTCCACCCGGGCTAATGACATTAATGTTCACCGGTTGCCAGTCCAAATTCCAGTCGACAACGTTGTATAAGACAGCTATGGTCGTACAGTTGCAGCTGTCAAGGGAAATTCGCAGTTAATGTCTAAGCAAATAGTGTGATATAAAGGCTAAATAGTGGTTCCCTTACTCCCCAGTTAATGAACATTTGGCTAAGTTTCTGGGGAATCTTACCTTGTTAAAACGCAAAGATAACCGATCCGCATCCACACGCAAAGCCAACGCAAAATGTCCGCAGAAAGCGCCCTCTCCTTTACAGCGCCCTCTATTGACAAGTACAACACTTTGGGAGAATAGCTGCTGCCGTCAACAACCGGCTTCCAAAAATTTCCCAATTTGTCCAAAATTTCCGTAGATTTTGAAATAATGTCATTAATGTAAATCACATTGTGAAGGTTATTTTCTTCCTCTTCCCACCACACAATTTCAACAATATTTTGTATTTTCTTTTATAAAAAAGATAGTGAATTGCTTCATGTGCGTTCGGCTAACACGCTGTTCCGTGCCAACATTTTACAAGTCTTGCCAATATCATATGATACTTCAAAACAACATTTAACCATGCCACTTTATAGAAATTGTATTTGAAATATAGCAAGATATTTTTGCACTAAACCATGCTTTATCACAATGTTGAAATCAAGTAATCAAGTAATTCAATCATTTCTAAAATCAAAGATCTGTTAGATCCTACAATCATGAACTCCGTCATGTGTTATTTCATCATGACATGGGCGACAGGGAGGGAGACAGAGGGAGGCGTCCCCTCTCCCCCCGAAAAAAAAGGGTGAAAGGGAGAAAGGTTAAAAGAAATTCAGAAACGGACCAGGATGAAAATCACCAATTTTGCGTAAAAACCTTTAAGGGAAGCTGCAATCAATTTGCTTTAATACAAACCTTCAAAATGCACCCTTGTGTCTCAGTTAACCTGCTTTTCAACTTTTGTTTCACTTTGTAAAGGGTATTTTACTGCCTTTTGGGTTTTATGCTAATATGTTTCCATAATCATGAGCAAAACATGTACGTCATCCCGGGATGAAAGCCTACAGGGTACACTGCACCAATGCAAGCCTCATTTGAAAACAGTGTAAAATTAACAAAGTTTAATTTCGGGCCCCAATAGCGGGCAACCGAAGTCACTGAGCTCTCTCCAACAAAAAACAACACGTTGTCGGATCCTTCAGGTTTCAATTGATTTTTAAATGTTAGTCGGTTGACTAATTAGATTTTCAATTATCCAGCAAAACAAACTCACCCCCCAAAAGTGAACTTGAACGTTTCCACGTCTGTCAGCATCATTTTTTTTCTCAAAATGATATCCCTCTACTTTCTCATCAAGCTCTTCAGACAATGTTTCAATAGCACTTTGTCTTCTTTGCCGGCGGGTGGGAGCCCCTGAATCTAGAAAGTTGATCCTGGGCCAAGGCACGTAATCCCAGAGTTTCTTGGGACACGCAAACTCCGTTTTGCAAAGGAGAGTGTAGGGGTACTTTTCAAGTGCCTCGGCCCGGCGGAGAATTTGCCTTGAATTAGGACAGGGCACCTTCAATGTTAGGCAAAAAGTGATACATTTCTGTAGATTTCTGAACAAAATGTTTCTTCTCGCGGATTCCTTCTTGTTTACGTGCGTATCAATAAACAAGCATCAATCGCATAAGTGAATTCTGGGTTCACAGTTTGAACAGAAAAACCTGTGTGCACTACGTACACTATGTCATCCCAAGTTGACATCGCGACAAAAGCACCCCCAGTTTGCCCAGGAATGCATGGATAATTTTTAAAAGTTAAAGGTTTAAAAATTTAAAAATAAGTGTAAGTTACAATGCATTTAACCAAAATATGAGAGTAAAAGAGGTTTTACACATTGAAGAAGAGTTAACTAATTGCAGTCACACTGTAATATTGACCTCTCCCACTTTTTGATCATTATTTTGGCTGCTGAATGCTTTTCCCCATCAAGCCCTGTACCCCTGTGGTTTCGCGGGAGAAATCCTGGAGACACCAATTGACAATTTCGGCGAGACACACATTTTATATTTGTAATTGTTTGTCATGCTATACTTGATTACAAGGTGTGACCGACGGTGTAGCCAAGGAGGGGTTTGAGTTTCCACGGGGGAGCAGTTTACTTTTAGCCTTCATTAAGGGGGATCACTGAATGCTGAATACATAGTTGTAACTGAAAACGTATTAAATTTTGTCCGTCATGAATTTGCTTACCATAACTGAGGGCAATTTTATGCAGGATGCTGTAAAAATAGAAACCAGATGTTTTTTCGGCTGCACAGGCAAATTTTTTTAAGGAAAACCAGCATTTGCTCAACACGTCAGAGACAGAAAAGGATAGAGAGAGAGACAGACAGAAAGCAATCGTTATTTGCCATGTTGTCGGCTAAGGTATTGATTCTTCTTTTTCTCACCATCCAGGCCAAGGGGTTCTGGGACGATGGGAGCCAAGATCCGACCTATTCACACTTGGTAATTATCACATCTTCACTGCAGAAATTATGTCGAATTGGGTTTTGTTTGCAAGCCTTCGACTTTCGGCACCATCACTTATTACCAGCGGCGCACAAAATGATCTTGTGGTTTTTTTGGGACATGGCAGAGTAGATGAACCTTCTTTTTGAAACGCTGCTTAAGATCGTCATTCGGTTTAGTGTAATTTAATTCTTCACACAAGAGATTAAAAATAATTATGAGGCAATAGATATTGCAACTATGCTGATTCAAGTTTTTCCAAGTCCTGTCTTGTTTGGTATACGTAAGTCGAAGCATGCAGATGCAAACTACTGATACCTTAAACAAAACCGTACTGTTGTTTAACAATTTAGTAATCTTTAACAGCTTTTTCTGAGGGGTGGGGTTACATTTTGGGCTTTTCACGCAGTATTTAGGGAAATTGAATAGCTCTTTAATATTTTTCAGAAGAAAAACATATTTGCTCCTTCACAAGGGTGCATGACCCCTGATGCTCCCCCTCGGCCACAGTATTGCAAAGTCGTGCGAACTATTCTGAACGATCGAGAATGGACTTAATACGCACATGTAATGCACGCATTCGCTTACAATCATACATTCTCTGGCGATTATTTGGCTTTCTTGTTTGCTTTTTACTTTCCTTGTGTACTTTTCTGATTTATATTTAAATTTGTAATTGCTTCACAAAAAAGACACAAACACACCGTCGCGACGCGTAGCTGGTACAAATCAAACCAACGGCTCACGGGTGCACTTGCTGCTTCGGGGGTCAATTTATTTCAGTTCTCAAAAAACAAATAAAAAACAAACAAACTTTCATCTCCTACATAAGTGTTCCTGTTTTACAATTCACACGCCATTTTCATGAACACTAAATACACTGTATTTCTCCTCATCTCTCTCTCTAAACAGGGCCTCTATCAGAAGAACCTAACCTGCAACGACGCTGGAACCACGTGCCAGCTATGCTACGTTGCTACTGCACGTGGCAGACGTTATTTACGTAGGTTTTGTAAAGTTTTTCAAATAAAAATAATACTTTGTCCCGAAATTTCAGTCAGAACTGTTGGAGAAGTGGAAAGTTGAGGTTAATTGATAAGCGGAGTTTCAAGTGGATGTTGTTTACAACAACAAAAACAACAAAAAAAATAATGATAACAAAAACAGCAAAAGTATCAACAGCAGCAAATTTAGAACACGTTGATATCTACCAAAGAGTGACAGTCATGTCGCAATTCACAATTAAACCTAGGAAAATTGAAGTAAAAGTAATAAAAGCTGAACTATGGGCCCTCCTGTGATTTTTCAGTGCCTTGTATCAGGTTAATATTGTTATGGCGAAGAAACAAAAACTCGTTTGGGGTTTTTAAGCCGAGAGAGTTCGTAAATGGAGACCGTATAAATGATCTTGCTATGATTGGTTGGCAGATGTAATCCAGTACTCGGTCGAACCCTACAATTTGGCATACCACAGTTTCTCCGGATACGTCGGATCGAAATCATCTTTTGTTCAAGGTGAGTGACAACCTGAACCAATTCATCCATTCCCTTTGGACTGTCCAAAACTTCGGGCTCCTGTCGTCTCAAATACAATTCAACTTCTTTTTTTCTTTTTTTTTTGTCAAGTTCGGCACGGCACATAGGTCTGACGTTTGAGACCAATTTGGCTCGGCAAATGATTTCGTCACAACAGAGGTTTTTGGCTAGACAGGGTCTGCCGTACAGTGCAACAGAAGCCGTTTCCAATGTCGTGCCACTACCGGGTTGAAAACAAAAATTCTAAAGTTGGTCCAAGACTTTGTTGCTAATCAGGAACGTGCATGCTCACAGTCAACGATACGAAATTTCTCGAAACGCACAGGGCAGATTGCTAGATTGGTGTTTCTGTTACACTATTTCACTTTCCAGTTCCTGCTTCCTAATGTTGTGCTCAATTTAGTTTTATTCGGCACGGCATTAGGACGTTCTTGCCTTCCATTTCAAATAAAGCACTGTTATATTTCATGTACGATTTATTATTCATACACTGTACCCTTTTCAATTTAAACACGTTTTCGATGTTTTGAAAGCGTTACCACCCAGTGAACGTGTTTTTGTGTTTTGTTATTAACAACCTAATCTGCCGTGTCTAAATTTATTAGCACATCAACACGTAGGGCCCATTAGTTAAAACTTAAACAACATAACGTGTTTACCTTTGGAGAATCAACACCACAACACGTTCAGGTGAAGTGGTATCAAGAAGGTGTTTAAAGACACCATACTAACTTTTTTCATATATCCTTCAGAAGTCTAATAAAAGTGACACATATCAATATCTCCCTTGCAATACACGCTTTTGTGTTAACGAAACACAGTTTTTGTGCCCATTTTTCCTGTAAGTCCAGTCGAGTACTGTAAATAGCATCTATTGAATATTGATTTTTGTGATGACGTGAAGGAAATACCGCAGTGCGTGCGCTTTAGGCATGCATACCGGTAGCACACGTAGCCACTGACGACAGCACAAACTTGAAACTCGAAGAATTTCAATCCCGCTTCTTTCGCAGAATCTATACATCCACAAATGACGCATGATCTCGGCATTACTGTAAATCAAGAAGAAAGGAGCAGAAGCTCTCGACAGAAAAGAGATAATGTTGCAAAGTATACCCGGCACACAGATCGATCCCCGGTACGAGGTGCACGCGCACGTAGCTCCATGTTCATGCATAAGTACGTTTGTGGCGAAACCAGCCGTGCCACGGATACTAATTTCATTGGTTTCTTCGGTATTACATCAAAATAATTTCGTTTCTCAACAGCGCCGCCAGCCATCAGGCTCTGGAAATTTTTCATAAAACCCAACGACAACGTTTAAAATTTCGGCAAAATTACAAATACTAAGAGACGCAATACAGACATAATTATTTGGTAATGAATATATGATACTACACACTAATATCGTACACACTAAACACAATCATAGCAGGTTTTTAAAACCTGAGAGTTGGTCTTTAAAATATTAGTTAAAACGTTAGCACTAAGTTTTGTTTATATAGCTTGTCCTCCAACTGTGCCTTATTGCTTCTGTGAATAGGCCGATTGAAGGTCGTTTTTAAATGCTCAAGACATGAAACACGCTGTTCTACAGGGTGTCTTGAAAAGGAAACCTACATTAGAGAGTTTGTTTCTTGAGTAAGACTAATTATTTTTGTTAATGGTAAATATAATCTGTTTACGGTGTCGTCTTCTTTCGTATGACATCACGAAATCTACATTTCCGTCAAACATGACTGAGCACATAGTAATTAAATGGACAGTGTCAAAAATTGCATTGCACCAGATGCGTTGTAGCTTTTACAAAGAGTGACGCATTATACACTATCAAAATCATTAATTCAAAGGCAACCACGGTTAGGGGCTTCTGTCTGTCACAACATAATCCCAGTGCCCTTCAAATTAGAAAAATAAATATTAAAAAATGAAAAAATAAAAGATAATAAATTATATTGTCTCTTCTGTCTTCACAAAAACACCTCTGGTCAACACGTATTCACGTTAAGACGCTTTGTGTTTAGATGTTTTCCTTCTTAAATTTGTAACTTTTGAAAAGCAACTTCCCGTTATTCCTGCGTGTTCCGCTTCGCAGTCGCAGTGGTGAAAACAAGTGTGCGCAGAGCACAGTGCATTATAGGACAAGTTTGAGCGACGGCTACAGAGAATTATAGATCGACTAACACGGCCGGAACGATGGCTGGTTTGACCGATCTACTCGACAATTTGGGACCAGGCCCAGGGGGTCGCACCGCTGGTTATCAATAGCTGATTTCATTAATCATTACAGAGGGAACCATTCACATGAAAATAATAGTAAGAGACTTTAATGACTGTGTACGCTGCTAGAATCGCAACCAACGGTGAAATGTAAGTAATGATGAGATTTTAAAACTTGACTGACTGGGGTCGTTCGAGTATAACTGAATTGCGCATGCGCGTTATTAAAAGGCAATTGACTGCTGGACTGTAGTTTCTTTCTCACTGTTACGTCAGAAAATACATTTCTTTTTAAATTTCTAGCTCATGTGAGGGGAGAGTTTATCGCCAAAGTTAAGAGACAGACAAAACAAAAACGTATGGACAAAAAGATCCTGAGTCTCTCTTGGTGAACAGTTGGTCTATTTGCGCGGTGAACCTCGACAATGAGATTCGCCAAAGAAAGAGCAAGATGCGAGTCAGTGCTCGCAAATCGACAGGATACCCGCAAATCGGTTATTGCACGCAAATCGGCATGTGGGCTGTCAAATCGCCCGAACTATGGTACCGAAATGACCGTAATTTAAAATAACATAATTTGGTGTAAACTGAATCGTGGGACGTCTGAGAAGAAACAAAATCGTTGCAGTAGCCGAGATCCGTGGAACAGAAATCGGCAAGACTCGATCTATACGGGCAAAAGGTATTGCTTCATGGAAGACGGACTTGGGTGCAAGTGCTGGTGCTGTAAGCTATAGTCTACAAACGTCAGTCATGGACACAATTGACAAAATGCTTGCCACCAGGGCATAAAGGGGGGCCAGAAATATGCAGAAGTCCACTCAGGGACGAGAGTGCCTCTACCCTGGCGCGATGCTAAGTTGTGGAGTGCGTGCACCATAAGAGAAACGGGAGGACATAAAACCAATTCTGACAAAAAGCTCAATGGCCGATGAATCTTTACACCAAACCTAGAATTGATTTTGCCACTTTGAAATTATGTTGGCCCAAGTATGTTGGCCCCACAAACTATCGATGAGGTAAAATGATCTTTGATCGATAGACCAATCGTCAAAATCGGATACTTTATTTATACTGTCGGTAACATTGTTGCAGTTTGGAGGTATCCATTCTGGCAAAATAGAGATATTACGCTTCAAACAGAGCGGAAAATGGACAAGGTTGGGACTGGAAATCTGGTTTAGGGTTACTGTGAACGAGAACGCAAGGAGTGTTGGTACTGTCAGTGTACATCTTGGTGCTCCATCAACCATTTTAATAAGGCCGCCAATTCGCGCCAAGTGGAACCACGTGACATCTCTACTAGCGACCAAGTGCCGTTGATCGTACGTCAGGTTTCGAGAATTGGCTACGTAGCCGCCGTAACCCGTGTCGCTAGCGTCTGAGCAAACGGGACGTGTGGGTGTACGCTTGAACTTAATGTAAAACCTCTTCAGAAGGTCTAAGTTGGATTGCCAAAACGCCAATTTAGCGATAACGGGATGTGATATGTGAATTGGGTCGTGTGAAAGTCTGGTTTTGATGGCGGGCTACATTTTTTATTCCCTTCCTTCTTGAGAATTGCGGCGGAGTATGGCTGTCTTCCCGAGACATGCTCCCGGTGAGATTATACGCGGAAATCTATACCAGGTACGAATGGGACAGAGGGGTACCCCCACCCAACAAGTCTAATCCCTATACACACTCCAGCTTATTGTCACTTAACAAACCCCCCAGAGGCCTGAAAAAAATTCAGCACAAGGGTGGGGGTGTCTCTCTGTCTCATAGTTTGCATCAAATGCGGAAATCTGATGGAGAATAAAACTCTTTATGCAAGGGTATGAGCTACCCATGGAATGATTACATTACCAAGTATATGCATTGTATTAGACGGTACAATACGCTCGCACCTGTCGTGCAAAAACGAAAAGAAATTCTCGTTTGCGGCCCAAACTCGCCCATAGCATGATGCTGCGCTGGTTCCCGCCGTGCTGCGCACAAACAAGGGACACGTGTGTACGTGTGGCAACCAGTCTATATATCCCGGTCGAAATAGCGTGTATATTGGTCGCACAAGCATGCAATTACCCTACAGCAGCAGGTCGAAAAGAAAAAAAAGGAATGTTCCAAAAGATTTCTTCAAGATAATCCACAGAACTTGGTCTATTGTATGTAGTTTCTGTGTTTACGAGTATAATTGAAGTTGTTTTGCTCGTACTTGAAGCGAGCGTGTTTCCACAACATTTCCTGCCGCGGCACGAGGTTTATTGCGGCCCCTCTGCATGCATCACGCATGCTTACAATGCATGCATGCTGCCTTATTTTGCCATCATCAAGTCGCTAGATTTGTTTGTCGCTCTGTGCATTCTAGTGTGGAACTGAGCTCCCTATTGTTTTGTTGATCTAAAGGAAGCTTCCACGTTAGTCATGATATGGGTAGCAATGACCAATTCCCTGTTATATAACGATATTACGTCAAAGCAGTGGGCTTGATCTTTAAGTCGTGCTACAAAATTGGGACGATGGAAAGATTGAACATAAATAATCGGGATATGCGATCCAAAGAACATACGCAAAGCATGTAATTACCGTGCGATTTGATTACTTCATTACTTGTCATAATTTGCAGATGATCCCAGCCAGACATTCCGCTTTTGCGTGGACGGACCAGCGGATGAGAGGGCCACCTGGAAGGTTCTGTTCTGCTTAGACAACGACTTTAGTGCCGCGATGCCTTTGCCTCCAACCTGTTCCCAGCCTGTTGCCTTCGTGTCTCTCCTTGCTCGTTTCTCTGACGAGGAGATGGCAGGTCAACAAATCTTAGCGTGCATTCCCTAGAATTCGAATATCTAGCATGCGTGTCTTCTTTGGCAAGAGTTCATTTTTATCAGTTGAATAACGGAAACTATAAGAGGAAAAAAAGTCTCCGAAATGTTCCTTCAAAGTTTACACACGCAGTGCTTAACCACCGAACCCTTCCTTTGTAGCATCAATTTAATAAAAAATAATGAAAAGATAACATCACGGTACAGATATGTCTGTCAATGACTATTTGGAAAATTAAAGTCAGGGAACAATTTTTCTTTCCTTCGAAAGACTCATTAGTGCTTAGGAATTTTTCAAAACTTTGCAGTTTTTCCGGGGTGGAAAATTACAAGAGGGTTCAGGTATTAGAACATATAGCTGAATAAGTGAATTGATATTTTGTCTTCATAATGATTAATTGTCTAGGTTTGGTACATTACAAGCGTAGAAGCGGACTGTGTAATATTGCTTTTGTTACCCTTACCCTATTCACCATCAGTGACTTTTTGTTGTGTAATTAAGGAAGGGGTTAGTTGGTAAGTAATCATTGGAATTTCAGCTCACGTTTTGAATCAATTTGGGAAGTACTTTGCGCGCCTCACTGAATGCAAAGCACACCCGTCCTCCATAATGTGCATAAGTCCTTTGTCATTTTATTGCTCGTTTTTTATGCGTGAGTGAACATGCATATGTTCGTTTCCATGGATTGAAACTTCCTACATATGTTTAAGGCTCGGCCCGGCTCGGCTGTAAGCCTTGGTTCAAGAACAAAAAGGCTCTGTGGCGATATCAGAAAAATATGATGGGGGGGGGGATTCCGCCCCAGCTCTTTTGAGGGTTAAGCTGCATTGGTTTTCGTCAGGAAATTAAGCACATTCATCCGGATATAACTTGTAATGTAAATTTCGTCATCTAGAAACGAGTTTAGTAATCAGAGGCCACGTCGGGTTAGGGACTTTGAGCAAGTGCACCGTTACCGTAGGGAAACATAAGTTTTAGACAGCCTTCCTCATCTGTGGGCCATAATCAAGTCAATAAAAATTTAAGAACACGCCATCCAATTATGCAAACGCTAATAATATAGTCTCTCTTCGAATCGTTATACCAGTGTTACCATATATCTTTTACCGAATATCACGACTGATTATTTGTCAGTAGGTTGGAAGGAGCTGTTTCTTTTATGCTGTGATACTGGGACGATAGGAGCCAAGATACAACTTTCTAAAACAATACATGTCTTTCGAGGAATACTATATTTTATCTTTTACTGTGAGCACCGAGTGTGTTCAGGACAAAAATCCCTTGAAGTCGTCCACCAATTTGCAATCTAAAGGGTTGAAACTTTCTTAAACGTGGAACATTCAACTTTGACACACTTTTGGTGTTACGTATATTGAAAAGGGCACTTTTTAAAACATTTTTAAAATATAAATGCTGTTTCTTTGATGTCGATCACAGAAGGGGTTTTTCTGTTGAAAATGTCAACCCAAATTTTCTTATCGAACACATTGTGGAGAAAGAGGTGCTTACTGCCCGTAAGTGTTACACTTTTATATCATCGAAGAAAAGAACATCTCGAACGT